CTCCCCACTCTGTCTCTGGTAGATCCTCTCACCCCCTGCACCTCTGGCCTGTACCCCAGTTCTTGTATGCCTAAATAATCTTAAAAAAAAATAATATACAGAAAGAGTCCCTATCTCCCCCCCCCCATTCTAGGTCATTACTTTAAATTATAAGTGATATTTCAATTTTCTTCTACTGAGGCTTTGAAATATTACTATTTCATAACATGGTTTATCATCCACATTGTCATTGATAGTATAGCCACTCATTTTTTAAAAGAATTTCATTACAAGGTTGCAGTTGATGCTAAAGGCAGGAAAAAAAAAAAAACACAAAGAATTGGATCTTCTCAATCATGGTAAAAATTAATTTGCAGTATTAAAATGACCAAATTAAGGAAGTGAACACAATATCGTTTCTTCCCTTCAGTTTCTTGGTGCGATACAAGCAAAGGTGAAGAGATTGGAAAGCAATCCTTTCAACTTTTTTTATGACTTTTTTCCACTGTACCTTTTCTATATTATAAAATTCTATTCCTTTATTCTACCTTTTCTGTATTTTATTTTCAAAGTCACCTATTGTAGGGTATACTTCTATAATAAACCACTGTAATATTTTGTTACAAGCATTATTTAAAAATACTTTTTTATTCCTTTTTATTTAAAGAAAAAACTCCAAATGATAAGTGTTTTTCTCGTTTAGAACTCTTCAAATACTTCAGTCCTAAATATGATAAGTTAGAATGAGCTGTTTAAAATATCACGCAAGAAGTAAAGTTCAACAATTTATTCATATATATTGAGTTTTTATAATTTTTGACAATCAGTGAATATCAAACATATATGGATACGCTGTGACCAGGATAGAATTCTTTTTTTTTTTAAAGATTTATTTATTTATTTATTTATTTATACAAGCACTGGGTACAGTCAGAAGCGCGGGAGGGTGAGAGAATTCACCAGAGCCAGAGCGGGGAGCAGAGCAGGCAGAAGGACCGAAGTACACTGCTGAGGGGAGCAGCGGGCGGCAGGAGAGGTCTGCGCGTCATGCGGGACCCTCCTCCAGTGGCCGGGGAGCAGCCGGGGATCGAACCAGTGCCAGAGAGGCCGTGGGCAGCTTCGCAACCTAGCGCTCAACCGCTGCGCCACCGGGGAGGCCCAGGATAGAAATCTTTAAGCCAAGAAAGGCCTGAGGGCACAATTTTATTGGCATGGACCTTACCGTATTTTACTCTAGTAAACACCAGAATCCTAGTTCAGTGTAATTATTTTAAATTTGAAACCACAAAAATGTGTGCAATCAACAATAAGAATTATACGTTGCCAGTTTTTGTTAAAATCTCCACATTAAATAGTGCAGAAGAAAAATCTAGCTACTTTACTCTGCTATTGGACCTCCCCCTTGTGCCTAAACTTTGTATTGAAAATTATCATGTGCTGCAGGATATGAATTTTTTTTTAAAGTGTTCATTTCAGCTTTTTTGTAATAGCAAAAATTCTGAACAATCTACACAGCAAAAGAAAATAGCTGTGTGAAATGCAGCCATTAAACACATTTTAAAAGAATTTTCACAAATGAGAAACTGATCACAATATTGAGGGAATAAAATGGTATTCAAAGATGTACATGCATTTATGGAAAACATCTGATTACAATCTTTGCAATCTTTATTCTTTCAACAGGTATTAATCTAACTGATCATTTTCTAAAAGAATAATTTCATCTTTCAGACTTCAATTAAAAGAGGTATAAAAAATAATTTCAAAATGCTGGAGTTTGTCATCCAGTCATCACCAAACACCTACTCTCGGCTCAATGTTGTGTGTGGGGGGAAGCAAATATACAGAAGACAGAGTCTGGCTACCCCAAGAAATATGCAATTAATGGGAATCAGTAATGTACATCCACCTTCTTCTGTTTATACTGATTTCCCTTATTTTCTAAAGGGTCTTAAAATGAGTAAATATTGACTAAATGGGAGGTGGAAATGTGACCCACATTTCCAGAAAGGGAGGACAACAAGGTGAAAGGTGGTCTCCAATGGGACAGCTCAACAACCTGATCCTCCCTGTGCAACAGGATCCCAACTCGTTACAAAGGGCAAGATGGGGCGTCATGGAATACTCAGCTGGCCACTATGGGGTGCCAGAACGCTAATATCTTTCTGATGGTCTCCAGCTTCCCTAGTGGCATCTGGGTTTGAGACTAAATGTAGTTCAAGTGGAGGAGAAATCACTTCTTTTCCAGCAAAATTATGACACGTGACATAGGTCGCACAGTTAACAGGCGATCAGGGGTTAGAAATCAAATATTTATGCTCCCCAGGTCATTATTGTATTCCAGGTCATACTGCTATCCAACTGGAAGAAAAATCTTCCAGCAGCAGCTAATTAGTAAATTAGGAAGAAATGAATAAAATGATAACAATAACAACAAAACCAACTAACCGGTCAAAAACTTCAGGAGTTGGGAAAATACTTCAGAATCTGGAAACAAAATTAGTAATATATAATCCCGCATTTTTAATCTTAGAAATGTGTAGCTTTATTTTTAATCTATATGTGAAGAAAGACTTAGAGATGCATCTGTCAAAATCTTGAGAAGAGGTATCGGGAGGGTTCATTTTTTTTCTTTGCTTTGTCCATTTTCTAGAATTTGAAGCTATCATTTGTTGCTTACTGTACGTACTGGGTATTATGTTAACACTTTATCTGGGTAATAAGATATACATGTAGCAGTTTACAGTCTCCCTGACGCTTACCCTCAATTACAGCCAAAAAGAAAGAGAGAGAGAGAGAGAGAGAGAGAGAGAGAGAGAATGGAAAAAAAGAGAAAAGTGGAAAGTTTTGTGAAGGAAGACGCTCTGGAACAAGTTTCAGTGGGGATTGGAGCAGGAAAAGCTGTTAGAAAATGAGTGGGAGAGGAAATTTTAATAACTTTGAATGGTGTTGTTGATCCACTCTGGGTCTTTCTTAAAATTTAGTAAAACTCTTTGAACTAAGTTGACATTGCTTTTGTGGCAGGTATTTTTCTTAGAGACGCCTGAATGGCTTTGGGGGTGAACAACATGAGTTCTCGCTTTATAAAAGTTCAAAAGTGGGCCTCCCTGGTTGCGCAAGAAGTTAAGCACCTCACTATGAAGTGATCCACAGCCTCTGCAATACGGGTTCAATCCCAGGCCGGCCAGGGAGCAACCCATATGGTGCAGCAGACCTCTCCTGTCTCCCTGCTTCTCCCCTCAGCAGTGTATTTCAGTCAGTCTGCCTGTTCTGTCCCCCACTGTCTCTGGTGAATCCTCTCGCCCCCCGGCACCTCTGGCCTGTACCCAGCGCTTGCATGCATAAATAAATCTTTAAATAAAATAAAAGTTCGAAAACAGTACTGCATTTATCAAACACAAGACAACTCAAACTATAGGAAAGAAGCTAGATTGTCCCTGCAAATCTTGTTCATTCGCTGTTTAATCAAAATGTAACATAAACCGTTGTCCACCTAATTCTGTACCTGCTCTTCCTCCTTATTTCCACCATTGTATACCTAAGATGTTGACTTTATGACTCAGTAAAAATAAACTGCATGAGACTTACAAGCTGCTTTATGCAGAAGTTACTTCATACTTAAGCAAGTGTGGTGTCAGCAGTTGAAACAATTGAAGAGGCTGTTTGGGGAAAGTATCCCAAGTTCTTCAGTGGAAAACAGGCCCCATCTGACACCAGCACCGGCAGCTTTCCCCTCATGCTGTGTGCCTAAGGCCAACATAAACAGGCAGCTCAGTGGAGCAGAAACAAGGAGAACAGCTGAGGACTATGCAGAGCCCTGTTCACTGAGTTCTTCACATCGGCAGCCCTTCGGGGGATGTTAAGAAACAAGTCAAAAACCAACGTTTTGCAACAAAAGAAATACTAGACTTCAGCAAAATCTAAAATGCTTGGCTGCCAACAGTGCCCCCAAGAAAGTGAAGACTACCTACAGAGCAGGAAAAACAATCTTTGCAAATTGTCTATCTCATGAGACTTCTATGCAGAAACTGTAAAGATCAATTCAGTCATCAAAAGATAATCCAACTTTAAATGGGCATAGGAATTGAAAACACTTCTCCAAAGATATACATACGGGCAGCCCCTAAGCACATGCAAATATGCGCAACACCATTAGTCATTAGGGAAGTGCAAACCAAACCCAGGAGCGTGGTTATGATTAAAAACACAGACGATAAATATTGACAAGGATGTGGAGAAATCAGAACTGTTAGGAATGCAAAATGTTGCAAATGCTTTGGGAAAGTTTTTGGCAGCTCCTCAAAACACCAAACTTCGCTGCAGTATGATCTAGCACTTTCCTTCCTAGGTGTACCCAGGAGAACTGAAAACATACACACACACAGTCACTTGCATGCGAGTGTTTGTAGCAACGTTACTCATGATAGGCAAAGTAGAAGCAGCCCAATGTCCATCCATGCAGGCAAGAATGCGTAAACACGGTACATGCAAGTGTGGTACATGCATGCAATAGAGTTACCACTAAGCAAAATAAAGGAATAACGTTCTGAAACAGACTAGAGTCGATAAATCTTGGAGTTGCAAAAGACAACATATTTTATAATTCTATTTAAATATGAAATGTCTGGAACAGGCCGATCTGGAGAGACAGGAAGTAGGTTTCTGAGAGCTGGGAAGGACAGGTGGGAGTTACTACTAGTGGGTACTGGGTCAAAGGTTTCTTTTAGGAGTGATGAGAATGCTCTGGAATTAGTGGTGATGGTGGTACAACGCTCTGAGTACACTAAAGCACTTGGCCGAGCTGTAGGTGAATTCTATCTCCAGAATGCTGGTGTAAAAAAATCAACTGGTTAAAGTACAGAAGGGCCCTTTCTCCTACTAAGCATACCAAAAGTTAAATTATTGTTGAGGTCATGTTGATTTTCAGCATTGTCTGTGATTTAGGGGACAGGCTCCCCGCTCTTCAGATGTATGTTACCATGCAACTCCCACCCCCAAAGCACCCATAATCCTCCACCACAGACCACACTGGTGCCCCCACCCTCACCCCGTGGCCTCAATTCTGCAGTCCTATTTCTAGGATTTGTTTTGGTTTCGTTTTGTCTGTTCGTTTGCTTTGCTTCTTTAGAGTTCACATAGCAGTGAGGTCCTGTGTTTGTCTTTCTCCTGACTTCTCTTGCTGCTTGGCATTTTTAATAACCCACTGACTTTCTCTCCACAGTGTCACCTTGCTTTTGTGCTGTGGTTTGTTTCCTGGCTCTTTTTTGAAGGGGTGAACGACTTCAGACATCCTCATTTCATGTTTTTTAATAAAATATGGTAAAGACAGAAAAATCCAGGCTTTGAGAACTGTAATGTCTCACAGAGCAGCTGCTTACACTAGCTCAAGTCAACGCCAGGACACAAGTGAGCTTGGCTTTACATCGAGTGTCTACAAAGAGTTAAGGAACATGTGTAGATTAGGAAAGAGTAAATTTAAAATATGTAGCTTTAAATAAAAATTTTACAAAAATGTTGTAAAATACTTTAGCAAGGGCTGAGACTATCACCTCATTTACAAGTGATATAAGAACTGCTTTGGCAACCTCTGTAATATACATTATGAATTTATTAGTTCAACATCATTTTTAATCTTCCCCGCTTGACTTTCCCCCACTGGAAAATAAAACCCATGAACTCAGCTGTACAATTAATTCACTTTATTATTCTAGTGCAAAAAAACATTTCCAGATTTATTCCCCATTTCAGTTTCAAAATAAATTGGCCTGGAACTTAGTCTTTAAATGCTGGTGACCACCAATAAATGTGTAAGAACATTTTTTAAAAAAGAACTCACTGCTGATAGTACTCCAGATTCAATGCACAAAGATTTTTTTCTATCTAAAGCATTTTTTTTTTAACTGCAGAGCAATCTAAAAATCTGCTCATTTAAAGCACTCTTTAAAATAACATATTTCAGTTGATTCTAGCAATCATAATAGGGCATAAACGATACTACATTTCTTCAAATATCAGTTGTTTCATCCTGGCTGTGTTTCCTACCACCCATTCCACAGGTCAATCAAAATACAAATACATGCAAATGAAACATGCTATTGAGACAAAATAAAATTCAAGGAGAACAAGTTATAAATAACATATGAGGTAAGTTTTGCTTTCGCATGTTCAAACATCACAGTTGTAAGAAAGCCTCTCTTAATAAAGCGTCCATGTCTTCACGGAGCCCTTATTTTTAGAACCTCAAATTAAGTTAAATAAAACTCCATGCTCCCTAAAATATTAAATGCCATGCAACACAGGATTAAAAGCAATGTTAGCTAACTTGAAAAGAACTTAACTTCTATTTTGCTTTCTACCCAACTACAAACAAGTTGATTCAAGAGACTTGAAATGATACTTTTATCTTGAAGTGACTAAAATTCCAACTTCAATGTAAGTACCTGTGACTACCTTAATCCATCTATCACCAGAACAACTTAACAGGGCAAAATCTTCCCTTCCAACCTCCCCATACCCAAAAAATGCATCCCAAGTGTGTAAGTGCTGAGAAGCCAAGCCTCACAGAGCAGATGACAAGCAGCAAGTGATTAAGCTCACACTGCTTTTTGGGGATGCAAAGAGCCTGTCAGATCTTTCCACAAAATGTATGGCTCCTATGCCAAGTCAAAGCGGGCCATCGAACTGAAATATTCCGTATTTCCCCGTGGTCAGCCAGCTGGGGTCAGCCGCTGCCAGCTGCTCCCCTTGCCCAGGCTGCAGACCAACCTGGACCTCAGCCTTTAACGTTCTTATACTGCAGAGCGGAGCAGGATGGAAGCCAGTCAAAGCCTGGTGGAATGGAATCGTAAACTCCCACTTTCTGTCGCCTGTCAACTTTCTATAATTCAAATCACCCTTGAATAAAATCAAATGTGCCTTTTGCAGTTCAGCATATAAGTCAGGAGCAACTTGAGACATTGCACAGAATTCATGAGGCAGGGTCCAAAATATATGGTCACGGTAAACCCACCTGCCCGTTTTTACATAGTTTCTCCAGTCAACCCCACACCTGGACATCCACTTATGATTAGAGTGCTTTACTTGTTTAGTTAACCAGTAAAAATCACATATAGTTGTATCAGAAACAAACCATGGGATAGTTTTTCCATAAAAATGGACCTCAGTAGCCAGTTTTGAGGACAACAAGAAGTCAGCTAATATTAAATCTGTAACAAGTTCAAATCCAGAATTATCCAGAACAATAGTCACTCTAACTGCAGATGCTTTCTCCGCTTCCTTGCAATGGCTAAGTAATGACCAAAGGCGTTCCATGTCATTGACTAAAATGAAAGGTTTTAGATCATCCAAAGAATTTATTAGATTGCTCTTCTGAGCACTAGTTTCTCCGCCCGAGAGAGAGAGATCACACTTATTGCCCCACAGTGAAATCTGAAAAAGAAGAAGTACAAATCATTTACCTTTCTGTTGACCAGCCAACCAAAACCATTATATAGGATGTGTGTTTGGGGGGCGGGGGGAGGGACCTGCTAAAAATTCTTAAAATTTATTTCTATAAAGTTAATATAAAATGTCCATCAAATCTATACTTTCTCTACTGATGCAAAGATTGTGCTTCCCGGACATGGTACTAAAAAGGTAAAACAATAAAACTCTGAATTGGTTTGTATATAGTGACCTTTTAAAAAGTAGCGTGAAGGATTTTAACACCTGTGTCTGTTAGAATGCAGTCCTCTGCATCCTGTAGATACTAGAACTGATCAGATGGTGAAAAGAGGTGGCAAAGTTGATTTTATAATCCAGAATCAAGAGAAAAAGAAAAGTTCCTTTTTCTTCCCAGTCTCCCCCAAAACTGCTCCATTTCTCTTACTAGTTGTATAAACAGAGGACACAGCAACCTCTTTGGGATTGAGTTTCTCGCGGGTGCAATAAAGACAGTGGACAAGGTAATGTCTAAAGGTCCTTCGAGCTCTAATAATCTACTTCACTGTGAACTGTAATGATACTCAAGTTTACTGTGTAGGGAATGGTAAGTAGCCCTATTTTTTATTTCACTAGAACTAAAAGAACACCTTTAAGACAGCAGGCTCTGGACCCAGACACACCTGGGTTCAAATCCCAGCATTTCCAATCACTGCCCACTGGTAAAGTACCTAAGATCTCCAAAGCTCAGGTTCCATCACTGAAAAATCAGGTAATACCAGCACTTACCTCGTAGCTGTTGTGAGAATTAACAGACATGGTGCATATAAGTGGCATACCTAATAGCTGGCATATAGAAGTATTCAATCTATTAACCAAAACAGACTATTCTTGTGTGATTCAAATTAAGAGTGAAAATGCATGTTGTGACCAAGAACATGATTTTTAAAAGATACATAAACAGATATTTTTTTCTGAAGTGTAAGGTTTTAAATAATAACTCCAACAAGTTGAAAGCAATAAAGCTGGGAAAAAAACAGTAACTCAAGTGTCCAAGTTTGATGAAGAAACACACAGTGGTGCAGGGGCTGACATTCCCCAGGTGAGGCCAGGGTCTCTGTGGCTCTGGCACATTCCCCCACGCCATCCTCTAGCTACAATTCTGCACCTACTGTGCCATGATTTGAATAGCTCTGTTTCCTGGAGACTGTAAGTTCTATGGCTGCAAGGCTGGTCTGTTTCCCACAGCATCACAGGCCCAGCATCTAGAACAGTGTCTGACAGCAGCGCAGGCGCTGAAGTGTGTGTGGACAGTGGTACGGTATTTCCTGCAGATGAAAACAGGCTTCTTGAAGCAAGTGAACCAGCTGGGGATCATGAGCACTAACGGGAAGCAACTCTGGCTTCTTCACTTGGGGGCACGGTGGCAGTTTAGGGGAACTGGCCAAAAACAGATGACAGAAAATGGATCGGTACTCCTTCTTCTTCACAATTTATTAGACTTATGGGACAAAGAACACACTGAAAGTCAATTCCCTGCAAGAATGGCCTGGTGGTGGTAAAAAAAAAAAAAAAAGTGGTAACTTTTTTTAAATTCTAAGCTAAGCATAAAGGACAGCTGCAGGGGGAGGGGCAACAGCCATATGTAATAGTTAACAACTTTTCCTCAACGATTTTTTCTCCAAACTCAAAGTAAAAGTCTTTCCCCTGAATCACGCTGCCTACTCCACTGGCCCTGGAAGAGACACCAGGACTGTGTCACATCCCACAATCTGACGGCATGTTCCAGAGTCTCCATTCGCAAAGTATATGCAGAGTCCGGGGACATATACCTCCTCTTCTGCTACAACTTTGTCCCGTCCCTAACCTGAGTCAGTTTACTAATAAATCTCTCTCTTTTTACCCTGTGCCTCTTCAGTCTGTTCTCAGAACTATCCCTGAAATAAGTCATTCAATGTTACTCCTCTGATCAAACCTCCTAGTACTTCCTATCGCATTCTGTGTAAAAACCAAAGTCCTTTTCTTGGCTTAGGAAGCCTCTGTGGCCCTTCCAGCCCCCTCTTCACAACGCTCTCCTCTTTTCCTGCAGAATCACCAGGTAGCTTCTCACATTGACCTGGAGGCTCCCACTCCAGGCCTCAGCAGGACCCACCACCCACTCAGGCACTGACCCAGAACCTCGCCTCCACTGTTTCAGGTCTTTCCCAGGTGCCTTCTCAGCAGCCTCGTCCCCAGCAGCCCTGCTCCTCCTCCCCTGCCCTTTCACCACTGCATTTTTAACACCACTTTCTGGAAAGTTTCTAACTTTTTCTGGAAAAAGTGAGGGTAGGGATACTATTATCTACTACACATTTTCATGGAGTTCTGATTCTAGTAATGCATGTTAAGGGTTAGACTGTTTTGAATGAGAATTAAAACCTAAACCTAAAGACAAATGAAAAAGTATAATAAAACCATATTGAATCGGTCACTGACCTATTTAATAGTGTTTCCACCTAATGGTAACAGCAAGTCTGTGTCCCAGACTTTGCACTCAACGCTTCCATGAAATGAATCTAGTTCAAAGCGCAGAGAAATTAAATACATTAAATAACTAGCCTCAGGGCTAACAAAAAATAAACAACAGAGCAGCGCCAAGCCCGAGGCAGGCAGGGCTGACCAATCAAGGTGCAGTACTCTCTTGGGAATGGCAGACGCTCTAAAGCCAGGTAACTCCTATGGTGACTCCTATGCCACCAGCGTCACTTCCAGTTGGAGAGGGAGACATTCTGAAACCCTTTTTCAATAATTAAATGGCTTTCCGTCTCTTGGACAATGCTATCACTAAAATCACAAAAAACGATCACATATAACTTATATACCCATGCTTTGCTGTTAAATGTGTTCCCCTTTATAACTGAACTGTTTAAATAAACAAATGTACTCAGGAGATGAGCTGTCATGTTTACCTGAAGGAGCCTGAAGAACTCCTCTTTCAACTGCTCTCTGCTGAGGTGTTCCATCCTGTTCTTCAGCTCCTGCAGGTGTGTACACAGAGTGATGACTGACTCCTGCGACTCAAAGAAATTTTGGTCTTTGGATTCTTTAAATACATCAAAGTAGTCAATTGGTGGGCTAAAGCAGGAGGAAAACATAAATGAAACATTCATTTAACTGTATCTTTTTCAAAAACACATCACCCTTAATTGCAATTCTTTAAAGGAAAGAGAATTGTACTATCCTGCCTCCCTAACGAAACAAAGGTTATGGTTTCATTGTCAACATTGTACTACTGAACTAAGCCGGCGCCTTCATAGAGATTGAACATTGTTGTTTCTGTTATTTTTCTGATATTTATGGCAAAGCTTCCCAGAAATCTAAATTCAAGTACAAATTTGGTAGCCTGTCATTTGGCTGATGCAAGGAAATTTTGTGGAACCTCAGCAGAGCTCCTGAGACACTCCATAAAGTTTCTCCCTTTCCTCCTGGGAAAGGCATTAGATGAATTTGTTCTGTTTGGCTCACCTAGTAGAGTAAAACCAGAAGGGAAGCATCGTCACTTGGGAAAATGGGTAACACCTTGACCTGATATGAATGTAAATTGTCAATGATGATTGTCATCTTGTAATATTGTATACTTCAATTGCTCAATATCTACAGGAATTGTTTCTGGAAATATAGGGAGAAAAGGTCTCAACAGATTCCTATTGATGGAACTGTTGAGAGTAAAACTTTCCTACGAAGGACTGAATAGACCTGGAAATACACCTAATATTTACTAAGTTTTCTTTGACATAATACTGGTAATTTTTTGCATTTTGTTCTAAATCCACAAAGTTTTCTTGTTTTGGTGACCAGGATCTGCAGCAAGGTTGCAATTTTTTTTTTTTCCAACAAAGTTAACTTGTGTTTGCATTTTCTCTCCCCTTGATACCAACACAGCATAAAAATAGTGGTAGTAATCTTTTACTACTGATCACAGAGTCTGTTTTTGCATAACTTCCATAGGGATTTTGTTTGCTTAAACTGAAAAAAATGGGACATAAGTTTCATTGTGTGGCTTTGTGTGGAGTTCTTCCAGAAAGTTAAAACAGAGCTGAACCAAGAAGAGGAGAACCTGTTTGCTTTGTTCGTAGGGTTCCAGAGACCTCCAAAGAACGTGAGGAAGCTGCCTCCATTGGCAGGACTGGACAGCCCAGCCAACGAAAAGTCCCTGGTACCCTCGAGAAGAGGAAAGCCCAGGTGGAGTCTGATGAGACCAACTTGTTCCTGAAGCCTACATGGACCGGATGTCAACAGTTCGCTCTGAATCCTATATGGAGTATTCCCAAAGCCAGCTAAAATTGCTGCTTAGTTATTCTGCCCTGTGATTTTATGCAAAAATAGGCAATATGATTTTAAAGTAGATTTAGTTTGCAAACTTTTGCTATGCTGTTCAAAAAATTTGGGATCAAGGTTGAGAGAATTTGTTTTTACATAAGTTGAGCCATTTTAAGATTTTTTCCCTGTGATTTTGAAATATTTGCTGTCTTGTTCTGGCTAATGCCTCCAGATGTTTTCTTTCAGCTTGGACTGATGAACTGTTTTTCCAGGACTGGAGGACTTTTGCTTTCCACAATGGACAATACCTGGAGGGACTGGTTTTCTTTCACACTAGAACCCTAGAAAATTTTCATCTGAGACTATATCCCAGCATCCATATGTTTGATCTTCATCACCATGGAAATGGTGGCAAATAGTGAAAGGGGGGAATTGTTAGGGAGAAATGATGTCCTGAGCTAATCCCATACAGGCTTTGTGGACTCCACTCCCAGTCCAGACTAAAGCCATCAAGACATTGGGAAAGACAAATCCCATCACCACCAAAGGGAAGGTGGCTGGGACCTGAGGGTGAAGTTAAGCAGCCAGGTTGGGTATAAAAACCAAACATGTGGGCCTTGGGGGGCTCGCTATCGCTCGCCTCCTGGCTTCACGGCTCCTGGCTTGCAGCCAGCTCTCAGAGCGCCATTTGGGATTCCTGATCACAGCGGATCGGGTAGGACTCATTTAAAACTTTGTCTCCCACTTCTCTCCCTGAGCTGTACATTTCCTCATTTCCCCTTCCCTTGTAAATAAACCTTTTATTCACCTTTCACGTGTGCCTGCAGCAGAGCATTGATAAGTCCTTTTAAGCGCGCGGGTGAGGACCCACAGTCAGGCACCCCGTTTTGTATCGGGGTTGCTCTACAACAGTTACATTACCCCAAAATAAAGTCCCCAAGCCCATTTAGTTGTCAAATGTTCCCTAACCAAAGACTTTACTAGAAGTCTGAAATAATTATAGTGACTACATTCATAATCATCTACCCAATAGAGTTTCCAGAGCAAAAGGAGAAAAAGCAGCAAAATGCCAAGATGATTTGAGTTGGACCAGCATCCCTGGCCAGGCTTCAAATAACAAACACGTGGACAGAAAGGGGCACTGATGCGGGGCGGTGTGAGACCCAGCACACCTGGGACAAGAGGACGACTCCAGACAAACCAGACACAGTGTTATCCTAAACGTTATCATTATGCCAAACTTTGGTAGTTTATGGGGGGGGAGGGGAGGGAAGGGTATGAGGAAGATAACTTTACTCCCAAGTTGACTTTGACCACAGGTGATGCATGGCTACGGCTCATCTTCATGCTGTTCGTGTGACATCACACAATGTTGATACCAGATCAGGAGACACAAAAGTAAAGAGGCATAAATGCTAACGAAACAGCCTTTACAGAATCAAACCTAAAGCCATTCAAATTATCTGCTCTTCTGCATTAGCTATTTTATCCATGGACCATCTACCTAAGGATAGAAACCACATGATGGGTATAATAGGGTTGATTTTTATTTTAAGAACCAAAAACATACCAAATCTCTACATCTAAATGACTGCTGCCTCATCAAAACTACGATGACATACCATCTCACGCCAGTGAGAATGGCACATATTAAAAAAACTGGCAACAACAAATGTTGGCAAGGTTGTAGAGAAAAAGGAACTCTCCTGCACTGTTGGTGGGAGTGCAAACTGGTCCAACCACTATGGAGCGCTGTGTGCAGATTTCTGGACCTACTAAACATAGAGCTTCCATAGGATCCAGCAATTCCACTCCTAGGTATTTACCCAAAGGACACAGAAACATCAATTCCAAAGAGCACCTGCACCCCTATGTTTACAGCAGCACTGTTTACAATAGCTAAGCTTTGGAATCAACCCAAATGCCCCAAAATAGATGACTGGATCAAGAAGATGTGGTGCATATACACCATGGAATATTACTCAGCATTCAAAAAAGATAAACACATGCAGTTTGCAGCAACATGGATGGAGCTAGAAGGGATCATGCTCAGTGAAATAAGTCAGAAAGAAAAAGAAAAATACTGGATGGTCTCACTCAGCAGGAATTTAGAAAACCTAAATAAGGGACCAGGAAAAAGACTAATCAATACAAAGTAAAAATCAAAATCCACAAGCAACTATAAACCAGAGACACACATGGGGGGGGCGGTTAGGGAGGGGCGGGGAAAGGAAGGACTAAAGTCAAAATAAGGGGGGAGGTGCAATTGTATGGGGAATATAACCAAAATTAAAATGCATACATTGTGCAAAGATTAAAAAAAAGTAAGAATTATATAAAATAAAATATTTAAATAAAAAAACACTAATTTGTACACACAAAAAAATAAAAAGATTTGCATTTGAAAAAAATAAAAAAATAAAAATAAATGACTGCTGCCTCCTTCCTGGCAGCGACCCCCTTATTCCAAAGAAGTGGCCATTGCTCAAGCTGCTTCTGGAATTTTCTTCAGAACCTGTGGTCCTGTCAGTAACTGCAGATCCTCATCCCTTGGAGATTTCTTTTGGGAACAACCGAAAGTCCCTCAGAGCAATTTCAGTAGAATGAGGGATGCAATCACATGGAATAAAACATTATGGTCAAAATGAGGAGTGACTGGAAAATGAGACTAATTTTCTTTTTTTTGAAGCTTGTGAAATGGATCTGAAAAAAGTTCCAAAGAATTAAAAGATACGTTTAGCAATGGCAGCACTGCTGACGTGAATCACTCTCTTAAGGTGGCTTAAAAGGGAGAACTACTGGGAAGTCCTGGTTCAGGTGTGGAGAGGGAGAATCATACCTATTAGACCCAGTGGAGGCGCCACCTACTAGGTGTGACCTGTAAGTTAAAAATGCAGTTTACAGGTTTGAACAGTTGAAAAAAAGTTACAAGAATAATAGTCTGTGCCACACAAAATTCACATTTCAGTGTCCCTAACTTAAATTTTACCAGCACAAAGCCATTGGCTCGTTTACCTGGCACAGGGGCAGCAAAGACTCGTGGCTCCTCCAGCCTCAAGGACTCCTGTCTGGCCTTTACAGAAAAAGTCTGCTAACCCAAGGCTTGTGTTTTCTCAGCAAATCATTCATTGGTTTAAAGTCATATCTCATATTAAGAATGGACCTTATTTCTTGTATTTAATTATGAGATTAAATTCATCACTACATATGATGCCTGATTTTAAAATGCTTGCTATTTTAGGATCTACTAAAGTCATCAATATGTATGTGCAATCACATAACCCTGGGGATTATTCCCAGGTGTATGTCCCACAGACACACACACATATGTTGGCCAAAAAGATGTGTTTGAATGTTTGTAGAAGCACTTTTCATAAGAACCTCAAACTGGAAACCACTCAAATATCCACAAATAGAACAGGTAAACAGAATGCACCACACACATATAACGTGATTCTCCAGCACAATGAAAACAAGTGATTTAGAACTGTATCCAACAGCGTGGCTACATAGTATCAACATAAAGCTGAGTCAAAGAAGCCAGACACAAAACGATATCCCCTATAATTTCATTCCAATGAAGTTTAAAAACAGGCAAAAACCCTTGAGGAGAAGCGACAGACCTGACCACAGGAATGCAAGGGGGTCTTCTGGGGCCCCATAAGATTCTGCCTCTTATCCCGCAGTGGGTTCACGTGTGTGCAGGTAAAGACCAGTGAACATGTAAGACAGGACCTGCTCCGCACATACATGACACTTCAATAAAAGCTGTCAAATGTCTGCTATTTTGTTCGTACTTTCATTTTCCAATATCTCAGTATGTCTAGTTAATATATTTAAATTTCATACATGGCCAAAACTTTGAATCTTAATTTAGACTTGCAGACTATTCAACTATTTGACTCTAATAAAACCAGAACAAGTATCCTGGCATAGAAAATTAGATGCATATTCAATGGAAGGGGCAAAATCAACATGAACACACCTTGAAGTTGCTGTGTTTTGGGGGGCCCTACCCAAGTTCAGATAACCCTTTTTTGGTCACTTTGGAGCTGGCAGTGGCAGGAGGATAATGCCTCCTCCAAGACCCTGATAACTTGCGCCTCTAACAGGAACTAAGGGTACTGGCCAGCTCCTCCTCACACATACCTCAATGTGCGTCTTGGCACAAGAGAACACCAGTCCCCAGACCTTCAACACCTGCAACAGAGATCCCCTGAGGGGAGGCTCAACCGCCACAGCCGATGAACATTCTCATCCCTAAACTGAAAGGTAAATATTGCCTCTGATACTTTTATTAAATTGTTGCTCAGCCAGCAGGGATCAACCCAGGCTGTCCAGTAGAATCTCCCTAAGGCATGGAAAGAAAACTGCTGTATAGGCCCCATGGCAGACAAAGTCAATCATTAGTATTTGTTTCAATAAAATAATTTAAAAATCTGCATGTGAAAAAAAAAATCGGGCCTCCTTCATGGTGCAAGGGGTTAAGATGCAGCACTATGAAGCTATCCATGGCCACTACTGCATGAATTTGATCCCCAGCCAGGGAGCTACCCACATGGCGCAGGAGACCTCTCCTGTCCCCCGCTGCTCCCCTCAGCAGTGTATTTCAGTAGATCCCCCTGTTCTGCTCACCACTCTGTCTCTGGTGAATCCTCTCACCCCCGCACCTCTGGCCAGTTCTTGTGCGCATACATAAATAAATCTTTAAAAAACAAACATACAAAAAACAAACCAAGAAACCAACCTTCTCCCCAGCTGGGCTATAATGCACAACCAAATTTGGGAATTTCTGCCCTGGAATATTTACTTACTGAACCTGCTCCACCTCTAAACTCAGAAACAGCATTCCCCGGGGCCTCTAAACCTGTTCTGCATGCTCCCCCGTCTTTCAACACTTTAGCAGTTGCAGTTAATGGCACAGGTATGTTCCAAAATTATGATCCTGTTACCCAGTTTCAGACTAACCCTTGACAGACACCCAAAGCTATTACTTGGCAGAAAGCAGTTTGGTGAGGTGAGGATTCTAATGTGATTTATAGACCAGGCTCAAAAACTGACTCACTATTATTTATCAGCCATGTAACCCTGCATAAGTTACTAATCCCCCTGAGCTTCAGTTTCCTCAACTATAAAATGGAAACCCACTAAAAAGCAATACTTACACTCCACTGGACTGTGGAGTAACTGGACTAGAGCTGGCATTCTATATACAACAGCTCTTAGTTATGTTGCAGTCTTTTGTTTGGGTGCCTTCTGTGTGCTAGATAGCGGATGCTAGATTTTTAATAATGTATTTTGGTTTTCAAGCAGAAGTCCTAACTCATACCTATTCAACAAAAGCAACAAATTGTGATTTTAAAATAATTTCTAAAGATCAAAACAGGAAAAGCTAACAGATTCAAATTTATGCAAGTTTCTCAAACTAATATTTTAATTTTTCTATTAATGCTGGTTGGGCCAATTGCTTTAAATTATCTTACGCTGTAGTTAGGCACAGATGCCAATAGATTCCTTTGATACAACACACCTGTACTTCTCTAATCTGTGCGCTAAGGGGATGATCCACATTATATTTCCTTCTACTCTATCAAACGGTTCTGTATCAGAATTTTCCTAGGAAAATTAAATTAGTGTAAACAAGTGTACAGAAAGCTATTTGATCACGTTTAATTTTGAGTTTTTCTAGTTTAACCATTAAAAAAAATAAATTTCAAGATTAATAAAGATAGTACATAAAACATAGTGATTCACTGTTGACACCTTATGCCAAATTAATTCTGACATATTATCTATTTTTGTAACAAAACATGATTGCTCTGTCCCCTCTCAACTTTTTCTATAAATATTTCAAATTAACATTTTTTGTTCAATCAGTAAGTACAATTTGTTTTACTTTGGAAGAAAAATAAATAAAAGAATTAATCAGCTAATTGGCTTTTATGTCGGCTATCTGATCTTATGCCTAATCTATGCAAATGAATTAAAATTGCCAAGAATGGGTCTCCCAGGTGGCGCAGCAGTTTTGCGCTGGGCTGCAAAGCTGCCCACAGCCTCTGCAGCGCCAGTTTGATCCCCAGCCTCCGGGGGAGGGTCCCACATGGTGCGCAGACCTCTCCTGCCGCCCGCTGCTCCCCTCAGCAGTGTCCTTCCGTCCTTCTGCCTGCTCTGCTCCCCGCTCTGGCTCTGGTGAATTCTCTCACCCTCCCCACTTCTGACTGTACCCAGTGCTTGTATAAATAAATAAATATTTTTTTAAAAAATGCCAAGAAACTGCTCTCTTGATAACATTTGCAGAAATGTCCAATGGTGCCATTAACATCTGCCGAATTCAATTGAGGCTCCCACTGTCTTTTAAAACTTATCATTTCAAAAGAGCATAAATTATCTAAACATGGGCCTCCCCTGGTGGTGCAGGCAGTTGAGCGCAGCACTGTGAAGCTGTCTGCAGCCTCTGCACTGCCAGTTCGATCCCAGCCGGCCGGCGAGGGTCCCACATGGCGTGGCAGACCTCTCCTATCGTGCCCGCTGCTCCCCTCAGCAGTGTATTTCGGTCGTCTGCTTGTTCTGTTCCCTGCTCTGTCTCTGGTGAATCTTCTCACCCTCCCGCATATCTGGCCTGTACCCCGGTTCTTGTATAAATAAATAATCTTTTTTAAAAAATTATCTAAACATTTATTAGTTAATGGTATATTTACCTCTGGATTATGGCTTCATGAATTCTGCGATACATGTAGCATTCTACATACAACCATGGTGAGTAAAACCACCTGGGTTTCCCATCACTTTCACTTATAAGGCTCTGTTGATATTCCAGGTATTGATTCCATATGTCAGTATCAACAAACTTTGCAACCAAAGGGATGATTGGTTTATCTGTTTGCAATTCATTCCGTAATTTGGAGAGAAGAGAAATGGCTTTCTTTTCAGCTTCCATACCCTCCTGCAGAAATATGGGGAAAAAATACATATAAATGCATAGAAATAATCTATATATAGTTTATATAAAAATATATGTAATTCCTGCAGGGACACACATTTTTATGGACTTAAATTTAAGAAGGAAAAATATTTCAAAACTACATGTCTTGCACATTTAAATGCAATTAGCAGCCTCCCCGGTGGCGCAGCGGTTGAGCGCTGGGTTGCGAAGCTGCCCGAAGCCTCCGCGGTACTGGTTCGATGCCTGGCTGCTCCCCAGCCACCGAAGGAAGGTCCCCATGGCGCGCAGACCTCTCCTGCCGCCCGCTGCTCCCCTCAGCAGTGTACTTCGGTCCTTCTGCCTGCTCTGCTCCCCGCTCTGGCTCTGGTGAATTCTCTCACCCTCCCGCGCTTCTGACTGTACCCAGTGCTTGTATAAATAAATAAATGAATGAATGAATAAAAAAAACAAATGCAATTAGCACTCTTAAGTTGAAAATCAAAGAAAACATACAGCTCTCCTATCAACATTATCTTGCCTTATCTACTTGGCCTTTTATTTTTTTTTAACTTTCACCTTATGAAGTAGGTTTTTTCTTTATCTTCAGGTGCATTGATCATTTCCAGAAAAGGAAAATTACTTATTGTTTCTGTTATAAAGTTAACAAAAAGATCTAAACATAATTCTTACCTCTCCATGTTTCTCAAAAAATTCATTTTTATGTCTATGTAATGAATCAATAGCCCTGGTTAAGATCTGCGGTATTCTGTCTTTAATTGTAAGATATGCGAACGATCTAGAAAAAGAGTAACATACATCGTATATTATTTAGCAGCACCAATACTTGAAAGACAAAGAAAATAAAAAATAAAATAGACTGAGCATCTTTCAGTTGCTGGAACACCTCATTTTAATCAAATTCCTTTTCATATTACCCTCATAAAGTAAACCAGCAATGTCTGACTTGTATATTGAGACACAGGGGAATCTGAAAACTGCTCTGTAGTGTCATGAAACTAAGCAGTCTTTTTTTTTTTTTAATTCTAAGTCCAGGTTCGCCCTTGGACTCTGCTTAATTGTGTTCATCTTTCCCATCCTACTCATTTTATTTGCCTTCATCAGAAGCTAGTTTAACAATGAGCTAGGACAAAAAAAGGATTCCCCTATCAAGCAGGCTCTCAGCTTAACAGAGCAACTACTCCCCCTTAGACAGATGAATGAAGTAACAGGCACAACTGCCAGCAAGACTCTAACAAGCAAGAACAGGGAGATATTTATGAACCTGCTTCTCTTTTTCTCTTATAGTGCTACCAATTTTAATTCTTTGCAAAGGTTTTTCCTTTTGCTTTCTCTACCATCCATCCTAGTCTCCCCCCAAACAAAATTAAGAAAGGTCGCCACCACCTCACTCTCCCAACCAAAAACACTGGTGCTTTTCTAGAGGTAACAAAGAATGAAAAAGGTGAAGACGAGGAAACACTTGCGTACACTTGCATACCAAGTCAGTCTTGATTTCAGACACACAAAAGCCAAGATTTACAGATTATTCCTTCATATATAATTCACCTAAGGAAATCCATGTGATTCTGTTAGAAAATAAAACTGTAAGTGATGAAATTATGCACAGGTTTAAAGAGCACAGAACTTAGCCGATCATTTATATCTTCAGGTTACTAGACGTGCAGTAAAAAGGAAGAAAGTTGATGAGCGCATTTCGAAAATATCTCTGCCCAAATGAACCATTCTTTAGTTTGGCATCACCGCACTTCCAAAAACTCAAGCATCTTACTGCAGTTCTTAAAACATTGGCTTATACCCCAAGTACCTCTGCAAGTAACAGCTATAAAACATTAAGAAAAAAAATGCAGAAACATCTCAGTCTTGTGCTTTGAGTATCCTAAACAGCGATCACATTTTACTATGTATAATACTCTGATCAGAATTTAACTTTTAAAAAATCGCTATTAATACCTTGGAAGGGGAGCTATAGTCAATCAATCGATACCTGGACTTTCCAAGGCAGCAGACAACAAAAAGAAGGGACAGCCCTTTGAGATCCTACTTCACTGGAAAATCTAACTCTTTTTCCCGCGGAGACCCGCGCCTCTGGGGTACGGTCTCCGCCGGGCCCCCGGGGAGGGCCCAGCCCGGCCCCAGGATTTGAGGAGCCAGGCCCGGATTTGCACGGCCCCCGAGACCTGACATCGGGTATAATTGGGAACAATCGGGGCCACTTCTGCACTGATCTGCTCCTGGCGCCGTCACTTCTAAGCAGAGTTCTTGGCTTTTGCAACACTTCGGAGAAGTGCAAATACGGGGTCCACTTCACCCCCGTCTGGCCCCGACGTCTAGGAGGCACAGGCTGCTTCTCGAGCGAGAGCCCGAAGGACTCGCCTCACCGAGGGAGACCCACTTTCCTCAGAGCCCAGATTCTACAGGGACCCCCTCGCCCCGGCCAAGCGCGTCTAGCGAAGACACGAAAGAGGGCGGGGGCTTGCACCTCAGGGCAGGGGAGCGAGCCCCTCTGAACCCCGAACCACCGCTGCGGGGCGGGGGTACCGGGCGCCCCAGCGGGGCAAGGACGAGGCCGGGAGCCCCCGCGGGACCCGGCGGCCGCCCCCCTGGGCTCCCGGGTCGGCGGAGACGGCGCGGCCGGCGGGGCCCCGGGGGCGGGGGGCGCCCCGGGGAGGCGGCGGCAAAGGGGCGCCGGCCGGGCGGAAGGACACGCACCCGACGTCCCGTCCCGAGAGAGGCGCCGGAGGCCCCGCCATCCCTTCGCCGCGCCGGCGCCCGCGCCTCGCCGGCCGGAGAGCAGCGCGCGGAGGAGGAGCCGCGAGCGGGCGGGCCGCGCCGAGACGCCGCTTTTGAACCGCGAAGCTTTATTCGGGCCCGCGCCAGAGACACGCCCGGGAGGCCGGCGCCGGGCGGGGAGCGCTTCCGGGACCAGGCGGGGCCCGCGGGCGCGGGAGGAGCGGAACCAGGAAGCGGGCGGGGCGGAAGCCCGCGGGGGCCGGGCGGGCGCGGTCACGTGCGCGCGCGGTCACGTGCTCGGGGCGCGGGGCGGAGGGTGCGCGCCTGCGCAGTGCCGGCGCGGGGCCGAGCGGGGCGGCGCGGGGCCGGCGCGGGGCCGCGGGCGCGGGGCGGGGGAGGCTGCTCGCTCTGGCTCTGCGCTGCGGCCGGGCCGCGGACACGGGCCGCCGTCGTCTCCGCCGGCGGAGAGGTTAGTGCACGGCCTTGCCTCGCAGCCCGATCGGTCCCCGCCGTCGCTCCGGCCGCGCTGCACCTCCGCGTCGCGGCCCGCGCGCTCGGGCCGCTCCCTCGGGAATCGGGGGCCTCCAGCCGGGACGCTCGCCTGGCGCAGCGGTGATCCTGGAGAAAGTGGTTTTGGGTTTCAGGGAATCTAAGTTCTGCCCCCAGAGGGGCGCCCCATTGTCCCCCGACCTGCCGTAGCCGGCACCGCTTCCTTAGCAGGCCTGCAGCGTGACCCCTCCGGGGACCCCGCAGGAGCAGCACCCCCTGCTCCCGCACCCGGGTCTGGAAAGACTGCAAGGAAGTATTTTTGAGAGAGGCCTCACATTCACATAACTTATTAGTCGATTATTGTGATTGTTCTGTCTCATTGTGAGTTTTAAGTGCTTACTGTGCCCAGGGTATAAATTACACTTTATAGGTTTGTGTGTGGAGGATAAAACATTGTATGTGTCGGGCTGGCACCAACCACAGATGCCAGACATCTGGGAACGATAGCTCTCGAATAAAGGGGGACTACTGTACTGTGTTCTTAAAAGTAGAAAATACACCCCAAAATTGAGTAGCTGCTTTTTGTTTCATTTTTAAAAAATCTGAATATCTACTATGCTCTGGGTATTATGATCATCGAATATCGGGCATGAACAGAAGAGAAACAAATATGCGTATATTCTGGCATGGGGGGAAGCAGATCTTCTATCCTTCCCTCTTCTGTTTGTTTTTCCCTTTAGCATCATCCCCACTTATATGATTTTTTGATTTGCCATGTTTGTTGTCTGTCACCCCCACTATGATGCAAGGCTCAAAGGTTCAGAATGTCAGGGAGTAGCACAGCCCTTGCACCTGGTAGGAACTAGGTTCATATTTGTCATTTGAGTTAATAAGTTAAGAATACGAGGCGTGCACATGATGTTAACTGCAATGCAGAAATATAGAGTGGCGGAGGATAATGGCTGCCGGCTGAGCATTTTAAATGAAGTGGTGGGGTTGACTCATGGGCAGGAGACTGAGCTAAGACCTGAAGGAGGTAAGGGCATCGGATTTACAGATTCCTGAAAGTGCAAACCGTAAGTGCAAAGATCCAAAGGCCAGAGTAACTAGAGCAAAATGTGTAGAGAAAACAGCCATGAGATTCAGTGTGCGGATGGAGAACTGGCTCTCAAGGGGGCCAGATCAACTCACGTGGAGCAACAGAAAAGAAGACAGAGCATATGGGCACAGACACAGTGGGCAAATGGATAGTGGCACAGAGCTTATGCAAGTTCTACGCTGATTGTTTCTGTTTTGTCAATGAAAGAAGGCCACTGTGGAGAAAGGAAGAGGCCTAAGTTGAGACTCGGGAGCAGACTGCAGCAGAGGATTGAAATGGTTGAGCAGTGTGATAACAACTTAGCGTGTGACCCTAGAGTGGGTGACTGGTGGAGAGCAGAAGACAAAATAGGTCAGGGATACCCCTCCCCGAGGGCCCAGGAGGTCAGGCCCACCACCTCTGTGCCTGGACGTAGCCACCATTAAGAAATAGGATCAGGACACTATGAGGAGCCTATGAATTTGACACCAAAATGTTACGTGAAGCTGTTAGGAAATTTTAAGTCCAGTGTACTTTTTTTTTTTATAAACTTTTTTTTTTTTATAGAGGAGTGTTTATTTATTTGTTTGTTTGTTTGTTTGTTTTGTTCATACATGCACTGGGTACAGTCAGAAGCGCGGGAGGGTGAGAGAATTCACCAGAGCCAGAGCGGGAGCAGAACAGGCAGAAGGACCGAAGTACACTGCTGAGGGGAGCAGCGGGCGGCAGGAGAGGTCTGCGCGCCATGTGGGACCCTCCTCCGGTGGCCGGGGAGCAGCCGGGGATCGAACCTGCGTCGCAGAGGCTGCGGGCAGCTTCGCAACCCCGCGCTCAACCGCTGCGCCACCAGGGAGGCCCCCAGTGTACTTTTTACCTTGAGTTTAGTTGGTGCAATTCTGCCTCCCTGAGATGTGTTCTAACTTTTTACAAAATACTTAAAAAAAAAAAATACTTCTTTGTGTTAGCCACCTGAATGCCTTTTTCACAATGATAGCGAGAAAACACTTCTTATTGGACCCATAGCTTTTATGTTCCTCATCCTGTGCTTCCTGTAGCCTGCAGATGAAGGCAGTTTTCAGAGCATGCAGGTAAGAATTTTCTAGATAACAGTGGAAGAATCTAGGTCTGTGTTTACAGATTTCCAAAAGTTTTTATAATTAGGTTCTTCAAGATGCACTGATTGTGCTGGCAGGGACTAGGACTAGTAAAAGGTGAACTGAAATAGCTAGTTGAACTAGACTAAACACAGAATTCAACTCTGAACTATTTTGAAAGCAGCAGGTTCTCCCTCCTAAATGTGCCTGTGACTTGTCCTGGCTTCCAGGGGAAGGCAGTAGAGTGCAAAGGATTCAGGTGTTCTCCTGGGAATTGGAAGACCCGTATTAGCAATTTGCTGAGCACGTAACCTCAGTTTCCTACCATTGACACACCCCATAGGGAGACCTAGGTGAAGCAGCATAGTAGGTTGTGGAAAATCCTCAATAAGTGAGGTCCTGCTTTCAGTTCCTACTCAACATTGCTACATGAGGGGTTTCTTAACCACACACTGGACCTTGTGAATCTCACATTTAAAAGCTCCAGCTCCCCACCTATAGAACTCTTTAGAATCTCTTAGTATCTGGCCCCTGATCCTTTCAACCCTGACCTGCCACTCCTTCCTGCATCCCCTGAGGTTGTGCCCTGTGGACTTGTGGTGTTTGCTTTGCTGGTCCTCTGCCCTCTTGAAACCCAGTTCAAATGTCACCTCTTTGAATAGGCCCCACCCATCCCTCATCCCAGATGTGCCCTTCTCTGAACCACGTAGCAGTGGCACATAACTCTGCTGGTAGTACTTACCACATCATTTGCTTTCCCCTGTAGACTATGTTCTGAGATCATTGGGTCATATCTCTGTCTCTGGTGCCTTACCTTTTACTTTTAGAAAGAATTATTAGATCGCCACCTGTAAGCTTACTTTTAAAGAACAAATATTTTAAATACCATAAATAAGGGAGGTGGATTTTATGAAGATAGTCTGTTTTCTTCGTCTGGAGTGTGTATGTGTGAGTGTCTCACATCCCTTACTACACTGCCATGGCCAGCCCCAACCTGAAAAGCACTTTTCCCCTTCCAGAAGCAGCTTACACATCTGGGAGCCTTTCCCGCCTTCCTACAGAATTAGGTGAGCTCCTCAGCAGTCGGTGTGTCGTTCTTTAGTGGACTAAGGCCACAGTTGAATGTGCTTCCAGACCAGGGCCCCTTCCTGGGTGCATCCCTGGCCGGGGCTCCTTGCTTGTCTCATTGTAAAGGCTGAATAAATTTTGAATAAAGGAATTTACAAGTGCAGATTTTCTTCAAATAGTTACTGCCCTAGTGAGACAATGAAGAGACCGACTCAGTTTTTTCATTTTTAGGCCCTTGTCACGTCCACAACTTTACAATCTTGTAGCCTTCCAGAAAAAAGGCCAGAGGGTAACCAAAGGAGTGGTGGTAGAAACGTGGGTTAGTTTTTTCACCTCATCCTTTTAGGAGACGTTTGTTTCTGTTTTGCAGCTTTTTGGGGGCAATGTTTCTATTTATGTCGGAAAATGTTATATATGTGGTATAACTTTTTTAAAAACAAATTTTGACTTTTTTTTCCTCTAGCCTGGCGTGTGGTGATGTCACCCAGACTCCTCCGAGCCCTGGCCGCATCTCACTGCTTTTTGTCAAAAGCTTGTCAGTGCCAAAGACTTCGTCGGACGTTCAGCCCACGTAAGGAATTCGTGGCTCCAGCATGCAGCACTCACACGCGGAGTCAAAACCTGGATTCGTTCTTCCCTGCTCCAGCAGCTGGTGGTGTGAGTACGTGTCAGATCCTGGACGTGAACCAGAAGATAGCAGGTGCGAGCGTGCTCTCTCCTCTGAACACTGTGCTTGGCCAAGATGAAAAAGCTCCCCCTCCAACCAGGAAACCATTTGGTACTCACAGGAAACTGACTCACAGCCCAAATCTGTTAGATTCTACGAGGTTCATAAAAATATTAGAGAGACATTATTCATCACCATCAACGGAAACACTCTCTCCTAAACAAGACTTGCCACAAATCAAGAGACCACTGAAGGCATCGAGGACCAGGCAGCCGTCCAGGACCAACCTCCCAGTTCTGTCTGTGAGCGAGGTAAAAACACTCGGTTTCGTAATAATCACTCGCTCTGAATAACTGCGCACTGATTGCGCCCCGGCCTGATGCTCCTGTGGCAGTGGCAGTGGCGGTGGAGACCAGCTCAGGCCTTTTCTGCCCCATCCCCCCAGATTGTTCATGACCAACAGTAAAATCAGTTATATCCCAAAGGAACCAATATCTTAATTTTAAGCATTAGTGATATACGGTAAGACAAATATATAGGCCACAAAGTATAAAAATATAGCTTAGGAAAAGATTAGTGGCCTAAGGAAGTTTTGAAAAAGAAGACTAATAGGAAGCCTCCCTGGTGGCCTAGGGGTTAAGTCTCAGTGCTATCATCACTGCGACCTGAGTTCGATTCCCCAGCCAAGGAGCTGACCCACATGGCGCAGCAGACCTCTCCTATCTCCCCGCTGCTCCCCTCAGCAGTGTACTTCAGTCAGTCTGCCTGTTCTGCTCCCCGCTCTGTCTCTGGTGGATCCTCTCACCCCCTGCACCTCTGGCCTGCACACCAGTTCTTCTACACACAAAATAAATACATACATATTAAAAAAAAAAAAAAAAAAGATGGCTAAGGCAATTGCGGAATGGACTATTCAAAAAAGACCCATTTTTTTTTTTAATGATCAAAATGTAAAAATTCTTCATTAAATTTAAAATAGTGTTGAAGTCTGCTACCGGTATCTCTGTGGTGTCTCTGCGGACAGTGAGTGCTCGCCCATACCTGGTGACTGCACAACCCCAGGTGTGGCAAAGCGACAGAGCCAGGTGGAACAGAAACCAGCCAGGCGGGTTTTGCTTTTTTATTTTTTAAGGTTGCAAGGGGCAGTATTATTTGTGTCTGATTTGCTGTTTAGAGGCTTATGAAAATGTCTCAACTGCAGTTGCATTTCCCTCAAGTATTTGAGGCCAGCACCAAGCCTTTCGTTAGTTAAGCTAAGCAATCACATTTGAGATAGAACAAACAAGAAATAGTATCAAGTACATGGTAGGAAAAACTAATCTTGTTGAACACTTAATTCTCAGTGGTGAAACAAAGGAGGGAATTTGTGGGTCCTGTATTTCCTGCTGTCTACCGGGGGGAAAGAAAAACATTAAAATGGCTTAGAAGAAATAATTTCTTCATGAACGTTAAGGAGTCACCTATTTCCTCGCCTTTGCATAGGCGATCGGATGTAATACCACAGCTGCGCCGTCAGTTGGGGTTTTGCAAAACCAGAAACAGCATGCTCATTCCCTAGAAGCTCAGGAAACTCATCGAAAATCTGATGTTTCTGAAAACACTTCTAAAGTGATCTGAGGGGGCGTCATTTTGGAACGTCATTTCCCGTGACCTTCCTTTCTGCAGGTGGCAACAGTCTTGAGGTTGGGTAGGTGAGGTCTGCCAGGGCTGAGGACTGGTTCTTCTCTGCCCAGTGGATTCCATGCAGGCGTCCCAAGGCTGGTGAATCTTGAGTTTGGGGGGACCTTCTCCACCCCTCGGGACCGAGACAGGAAAGGACTCCCCTTTCGACAGAAAGCAGGCATGCTTCTCTCCCTCCCCACAGCTGCCCCTGCCCTTGCCATGCCCCACATACTGGGATCAGATCTCTCCCTGGTCACGTTCACGGAGGCCCCAACCTGCCGAGATGTTCAGCCCCATCCCATTGTGCATAATTGGTAACAAGGACAGTGCTGCTTGTTGGCACGACCAGCCTCAGGAGGAGAATGTGGGGCGGGAGGTGGCGGGGGCAGAACCCTGGCTCTGGGCACAAGGGGGAGCTCACGTTCCCCATAGTGTTCAGCTGTAGCCAGAACATAAAAGGAAAAACCTGCATTTTTCTCTTTTAATATAAGGATAACATTGCTACAATACACTCAGTTTCTTCAGGTACAGAACATGAGTAAAAATAAGCTTTTTTTCCCTGAAGAAAATATTCCATTGGTGTTTGCTACACTAAAATCTGAATCATATATAGATTTCTAGCCCCATCTGCTGGAACATGTTTTCTGTAGTGAGAAAAGTGAAACATACTAAAATGTGATTTTCTTGGTTTTTTTAAAAAAAAAAATTCTAAAATAAGTAGCGATTTTAGGTTGGTTTGGCCTATTTATTTAAGAACAAGTTGTTGAACCCCATCTTAAAACCTGAAATTTGCTTTATGTATATAAAACTAATGCTTAATTAGTGGTTCATTATAAAAATCCAGGAAAGGACATATGTGAAGGCTTTTCACAAAGTAACACCTTGAATTAATTACCAGGAAAAAAAAAATTGCAGACAAAATACTCCATCGTCCTTGTTGTCTTAGCCCAATGGACTTAAATACAATCTTGACATTTAAAAGCAAAGCAGATAAAACCAAGACAAGATATGAATCAAATGTCAAATCGAAACACTTTGTGAATCATTTCTTGTTAGAAGAGTCCATAACTTAAACAAAGACCAAAGTCTTGAGGGAGGATTTGGGCAGTCACGTGCGAGCCAAGTCCGCTGTAGGACTTTGGCTGTAACTATCAGTCAAACTAAATAGGACATGGTGACAGGGAACAGTGACAATTCAGGAAATCTGCAGCGAGGAGCCCTGGAAGTGCTAAGTAAAAACAGACTGTGATAAAAAAATGTATTTATATACTGACTACTTGGAGCTCAGAATATGTTTTCTCACAGAAACAGGGATGGAGTGCCTGGTCTTGTCCCATCTTTAGGGCAGCCTTAATGTTGAGCACAGATGGGCCTGGCCGGCGGCACAAATGATGGCGAGACAGGCATGAGACCAGGGGAGTGGGAGGGACCATATGGCTGGAGAAACAGGGCCTCCTCGACTCCAGTCCATCATTACCAGATCTTCCACTTTACCAGCAAGTGAGGAAGCCTGGATTTTGTGTGAAATCGCAATCTATTGTTGATAATTCAGATCTTGGAAACTGCCAAATGGGTGGGCTCTTGAGTAGGTCTCGGGGCTACCCGTGTACAATTCTGATTCTGGGGAGAGCTCACCCCTGCCAACTCCAACACAGTTATGGGAAGACCTGACTAGACTTGCTCTTGACCTTTTCCTCACCTCCAGTCTTCCCTGTGCCTCCTGCTCTTCCCACCTCAGCCCAGCTCTAGCAGCCACGGAAGTAATTCTGACACCCAGCTTCAAATATTGGTTTTGCTTATCAAGCTTCAGTAAATTTGTCAAGCCTGGAGAGTTGAGCTTGCCTGCCATGGTCTACCTGCAGCCCCTTAAGGATTCCTTCCTTTGAGCTTAATCTCAGGTCCTGTCAGCTCTTTAACTTCATGCAACCTGACAAGAATAGATAGTGCTAGTGGTTCTAAATCTCAGGAACACGTAAGGGGTTCCTGTATTCCCATAAACATCTGTACTTTGGCCGCTTCCATATGTTGGTACATCCACATGTTCTCACACATGTGACCCTGGAGGTCAGTTATCAGATTCCTGCGATCATAGGATTCCACACCCATTCATTTTCACATTCAGCATTCCAGCTTTTCATTTTGTTCTAATTGAGTTAAAATCATTTTGCTTATGGATGGATATTTAATTGCATTTAAGTTTTTTAGTTTGTGTATACCCTCAGTTCTCTATTTATTCCTCTGCTACTTTTTAAAGCACTCATTGGGACTTGTAACAGATTGAAGGAAAGGCCAAGCAGGGGCAGGCCATTTCTTGAGAACGGGCATGCAGTTAAGTAACAGAAGAGGAAGGAAGTTCATATACTACTTTTTAATTTTATACTAAGAATGTGGGACCTCCCTGGTGGCAGAAGAGGTTAAGACACAGCACTATAAAGATATCTGCAGCCAGTGCAACACAAGTTCAATCCCCACCAGGGAGCTGACCCTCATACTGCAGCAGACCTCTCGTGTCTCACCCACGGCTCACCTCAGCAGTGTATTTCAATAGATCTGCCTGTTCTGCTCCCCACTCAGTCTCTGCTGAATCCTCTCACCACCACCACCCCACACACACACACCACTGGCCTACACCCCAGCTCTTGTATGCATAAATAAAATAAATCTTTAAAAAAAAAAAAAAAAACTGGTCTCCCTATAACTTTCCTTTCATCCTAAGTACATCCTTGTATGAACCTGTGAGATGCTTGAAGAAAAGTCAAGTGCTGGCTCTGCAGAAAGGTGTCCGAGCAGGTGACAGAGACCAGCCCAGACCCTTTAGCCTCTCGGTAATCCATGTCATGCCATTCTTCCTGATGCAGGACCTGATGCACTGCACAGCGTTTGCAACTGCAGATGAGTATCATCTTGGAAATCTCTCTCAAGATCTGGCCTCCCATGGATATGTCGAAGTAACAAGCCTGCCAAGAGGTACATCTTGAACCTGGGGCCAAGTATGTTAAACTGTATTAGAAAATCATTTTCCTACGATACTGTATTAGTGATGCATTTGTTTATGTTGAATTTTCTGTGTGAAGAATTTTGTCATAAAAGTGGTATTGAATCTCTATATACATGACATACAAAGAGAAAAAAATATATGTAAGAGAACTTAGTTCTCAAATTCAAGTCAGTATGATTTATTAAGCATGATTTATAGGATCCTTATTCTTTGTAGTGGTCCAAGGCCAAACCACTTTATTTCTGCCATGTTAAAAGTTATTTTACTGTTATGGAAGAATCATGAAATTGATAGAAATGTTGAGGGAAATGTCCCAGTACAAACTAATACTTTAAAAGTAGCAAAATTAGTTAAAAGATAAACAAATGAATTTTTAAAAGAATTAAAATCAACGGAGGAATTCAGAGTAGTATCTGGAAGGATTCTTGAGAAAAATAACATGCTGTACATTTAAAAATAAGTAAGCGGAAATTCAGGATTTTACAGGAAAGTAACAAAAAACAGCAGGTGGAAAACCTCCCTGCTGCAGAGAAAATTCTTCAGAGATATTGACCCTATAAGAGACCATCAGAATGCCATTTGCGTTTTCAGACTTGATGATCTGAACAGCATGCTGCGTAATGGCCGAAACAAACATCGTTGACTTATAAGATCAGAGCTGTGTCCAGTGCCCCAGGGGTAGATCCCCGTATTGGTCTTTGGCTGATTCTGAAGGTGTCAGCCAGTGGCCCTGAGCTCCGAGGCTCGGAGCCGCTTGTGCTGTTCGCACTGCTCTGCATCGTTCTCACTTGACCACTTTGCTTTGGCTACTTAAGTGGCTTTGCCCTGCATCAGATACAGTAGAGAGGTCACCCAAAAAAGGTAGCTTAGGATTTGATCTCTATCTGAATTCTTCATGCTCCAACTTCTAGGAATTCTGAAGCTTTGAAGATCCTTATTTAAAGCTGAGAAATTTTATTTTTTTTAAAGATTTATTTATTTATGTGTAGAAGACCTGGGGTGGTGAGAGGATTCATTAGAGACAGAGTGGGGAACAGAACAGGCAGATCGACTGAAATCCACGGCTGAGGGGAGCAGTGGGTGAGTCAGGAGAGGTCTGCTGCACCATGTGGGTTGCTCCCTGGCCGGGGATTGAACTTATGCTGCAGACAGCTTCATAGGTTGTATCTTAACCCCTTGTGCCACCAGGGAGGCCCCTGAAGCTGAGAAATTTTAGATAACTTTATACATATTACTATTGGTATATTAATACATATACCGGTGTATTATAATACATATAGTAATACATATTGCTGTCGGTATATTAATTGATACACTAACATTGTAATTTACATTATAGAATACATTCTTATGAATATTGCTATGCTAATCTATAAAGCAAGACTACTGCTATGCTAATCTACAGTGCTAATTGATAAAGCTAATCTATAAATCCATATTTATAAGTATATATTTAGTAATATTTAAAAGTTAAGATACTCAGTTAAGGTGACTACTGTGCTAGTGCTCATGATTAACTTTGACATCAGGTATGTCTTGAAATGGCCAGTTCTTCATTTCTGTATGTTTTCTCTTGCTCTGCTCTTTATACAACTTAAATTTCAGCAGAACCAGTAGAATGAGACTATCAATAATATTAATGAAACCATATTTGAAGGAAGAGAAGATAGTTATGGTTATTCAGATTAACTTTATGGGGGGAAAAGCTTAATTCTTGAACCTCAGTTGTACTGAAAACTCCGACTTTTAAGGATTTTTGTATGCATAAGTAAAAAATACATCTTTAAAAAAAAAAAATCAAGTGATTTATTTAAATGATTACTGAATCAGTGAGAGTAGGTAATCAATTTTAAATAATAATATCACAAGTCATTGAATGTTTTGTGAAAGTAATTTTTTATCTTTTCGTTTTGAAATATTAAATACTCTCCGAGACCTGAGAAGGCTGAGGGTGTGTGACACAGCACTTAACATATATGAGATCCCTTGAACTTGTAGATGAGGCACTGAACAAAGGTTTTCAGGACTTAAACCTTGTGTCTCCTTGTGAGATAGCTGTTCATCCATTTTTTTTTTAAAGATCTATTTCTTTATGCATACAAGAGCTGGGGTACAGGCCAGAGACGTGGGGGGAAGGAGAGGGTGAGCGAATTCTCCAGAGACAGAGTGGGGAACAGAATGGGCAGATTGAAATCCACTGCTAAGGGGAGCAGCGGGTGAGACAAGAGCGGTCTGCCTCTCCACGTGGGTAGCCCCCTGGCAGACCGGGGATCGACCTTGTGCCACAGAGGCTGCGGACTGCTTCATAGTGCTGTGCTTAACCCCTTGTGCCACCAGGGAGGCCCTCATCCATTTATTTTAAATCATAGATGCGGCAAATATTTTGGTGATGGGCGCGGAAAGTTCTGCAAAGGAAGGTGATCCAGGAACAATGTTCTTCTTCAGGTAAGACGGGAAGGAAGCCCGATGTGGAGATGGACTCGCGTCAGGTGACTGTGCCTCTTAAAGATGCAGGTGTCTACCTCTCCTTATAGCGAATGTGATCAAAATATATTTGAATTTATCTGTGATTTTTTTTTTTCTAGGAGAATCTGAAAATCTCCTGGTAAATCTTCTTATAAAGAATTATAAAAACAAGTAAATAATCTTCCCCTGGTTTATCTTTGCAAATCTGGGCATTCATTTACTGCGTGTGTGTAAAGCATCCTGTTTCCTGTTCATATTCAGTGCCCTTATCACACTCACCCCACCTGCTCCACTGTCCTCCTTTTCTTTCTTCTGTAGCTCTTTAGCTAAAATTTTAGCCCACTTTACCTCTCTGGAGACTTCGGACTGGGACCCTGACTCATATACACTTACTCCTTTTATTCAGACTTCAGCTAGCACAACAAGTTTATGGACAGCTTTGGACCTTAAATGCTGACAGAGCCAGACCGGAACTCAGGGCCTCCCTGGCTTCCCTGTGGCTCTGCTGTCAGCACTGGACAGAGGAGCTGCTGTTCTTAGATGCTCACAGCCTGAAGCACTGTTTGATCTCACACTCTCCATTCCACAAGCGTTAAAAGCACAATCCTTTCTTTTCCTATAGTAGAGTCTGTCTGATGAGAGCTCAGACAAGTCTCAAAAAATTTCCTTATTCTGATTTTTGTACTTGGGAGTTGAACCAGGTATGAAATGGTCTAGGTGTGTCGATGCCATAATAGTGGTAACTTGTTCTGCATGCATGTGAGAAATCATGAAGTTGTGTGAGGCCAGGTTTTATCAAGAGTTCAAAATGGAGCTTTTGTCGCTGTGTTAGCAGGCCCATCTAGAGACCATAGCATCAAAGCATCATAAACCATGTCTTTTTACTTGCATTCTGGATACTTTCTAGAAGTTACCAAGCATGGCTTTATAATGGCCCCCAAAATGGTATTCAGCCTTTAACTTAGCTGATTCTTTTATTCTTTTAAATCAGGGAAGGAGCTGCTGTGTTTTGGAATGTGAAAGACAAAACTGTAAGTATAAATAAAGTATAAAAGCTTATAAGTTCAGTTTTCCAAGAAAACACTGTGAATTAGCACTCAATAATCTGAGCTGGTGGAAGATAAATTAACAAATAACCTGCAGTCTATTTGCTTTGCATTTTGTGATATTTATTTATCCTAGCAGTTTTGTCTTCCAAAATATATTTTGGCTTATAAGTTTTCCTGCATTTCCCACTTTCCAAGCATACGCTAATTTGTGGAGGTTCAGATCAATGCTAGCTCTACTGCAGACAGGAAGAAGTCTATTTTGCCAGTTTCCTAGAAACCGGCTGTTCTGAATCTTATTGTAAATCAAGTGCCTCTAAGTCTGTCACTCACAGGAAGTACTTGCTTCAATTCCCCTCTTAGGGTTTGTTTCATACAACCTTTTTAGAGGCAGTTTGTAAAAAGCATCTAACTTGCTATTTTTACACAGTGAGTTACCCAAAGGAAATAATCAGTTGTGCATGACAAATGATGTATAGAAACGCTCAAACGCTCATTAACACATTGTTCACTATGGGGAAAGTGAGAAATGACCAAAACACATACTAATAGGAAATTTGGTAAATACGCCCATGGGATAGACAGTACTATAGCCCTTAAAAATAATGTGGAAAAACATCTGTTCCTGGGAAAGTGCCTGTGTATATGACAGTTACATTAAAGAGCAGCTTATTAAATGTAACCAATATAACACTTTAAAGCTGTTTAAAAGAAATCTCATCCAATCCTAGTTGTACTAAAAGGGAACACACACATTGGGGATGGGCAGCTAGAGAGGGGTTTCCTGGAGAAAAAGAAATAGAAATGACCAGTAAGTATAATCCAGTGTGAAGCTGTATTCCTGAAACTGATAAGGGGCTGCAAACAATCAATAACAGTTTTATTTTTTAAAAAATACACAAATTGGGGGCCTCCCTGGTGGCACAAGGGGTTAAGACACAGCCTATGAAGCTATCAGCAGCCACTGAAGCACGAGTTCATTCCCCAGCAGGGAGCTACCCACATGGCGCAGCAGACCTCTCCTGTCCCCCCACTGCTCCCCTCAGCAGTGTATTTCAGTCAGTCTGCCTGTTCTGTTCCCTGCTCTGTCTCTGGTGAATCCTCTCACCTCCACACCTCTGGCCTGTACCCCAGTTCTTGTATAAATAAATAAATAAATCTTTAAAAAACTTAAAAAAAAATACAAATTGGCCACTTCAAGTTGCAAAGATGTGAAAGGCTGGTGACACCCAGCCTTTTTCTTTTTTTTTTTTTTTTAAAGATCCATCTGTTCATTCATACAAGAACTGGGCACAGCCAGAAGCGCGGGAGGGTGACAGCGGAGAGCAGAACAGGCAGACTGATGAAGCACACCGCTGAGGGGAGCAGCGGACCCTCGCCGGTGGCCGGGGATCAAACCAGCACTGCAGAAGCTGCAGGCAGCTCCGCAGCCCAGTGCTCAACCACTGCGCCACCAGGGAAGGCCCGACACCCAGCCTTTTTAAAGCATACTATCATGAAGAGTTATATTCTAAAATTGGGAAAACTGTTTTAAAGAGCAGTTTAGCAACACATCAAAATTAGTACATGTCTTTGATCTAAAAATTGTTTCACTGAGCCATGAAGCTGCATGCCTGGGATGGTGCCTGGTGACACTGTGACAGTGGAAGATGGAGCTGATCCCCCGTGGGTAGACATGAGGATGGGTAAATAAATCACCATCATCCCTCCATGAAGGAGAACAGCACTGGAGGTGGTCACATGCAATGTCTCCTCCCACTTCACATAAAAAACAAAATAAATGTACATGTACACATGGAAGAAGGCCTGGGAGGAGATGCACCCCATTTACTAATGGTTACCTTTGGGGAGAAGGAATCCAGTGGAGCAGAGAGAGATCACCACTTTCTACACCTCTGTGTTAAAATTTTTGCAAGTACGTTACTTATACATTGTTTTAAAAGATTTACAAATCCAAACAGAAAGCGTAATGTTACTAGGGGTTTTCTTTGGGTTGTGGGGTACAGAGATCATTTTTATTTGCTTCTTCATGCTCATGTGAAAACAAAGATAATATCTGATCATTTTAATACCACAATGAATTAGCCTTTCCCTTAAAAATGAATCAGCAGAATAAATTTCATCACTGATAAATGTACGCGTTACACTGTGATAGACTTTGGAGTCTGCAGGAGTGAGGCATAATTTCATGTTCATCTTCCTTTTCTTTTAGATGAAGCATGTGATGCAAGTTCTAGAAAAACATGAAGTTCAGCCCTATGAAATTGCACTGGTCCACTGGGAGAATGAAGAGCTTAACTACACAAAGACAGAGTACGTTTTTCTCACATGTTTGAAAAGACACTTAGACTCTGGGAAAGCAGTAGAGGAGATAAAATACTTGTGACTAATTTTAAGAAAAGAATTACTGGTAGAAAGACAAAGCCTAAACAATATGATAAATATTAGCAGATAGACTTTTTTTTTTAACTTCTCAGGCTACCCGTCAATTAAAGCAAATAGATTATATAACCCCAAGTGGCAAGTTTCCTATGTAGGCTAAGTCAGTCAGCTAGTATGCTTCATCAGAGTGAAACTATGAGATGATTCTAAGAAAGTTTCCTCTTAGGTAACCCTTTTTGTTTTCTTCCTTTTGATTTTGAGTATAAAAAGGAAGTTGATGAGGGGGTGACCCATGAGAAACACTTGTAGAATGGGGGTGCCAGCAAGGAGTGGGGGGTCTGACATACCAAGCCCAGGTCAGATATAGGGGTAGGCAGCATGTGGACCAATTCTCCCATCTCAGCAACGGGGGAAGTGAGAGATTGAGGGTAGAGGGACCCGGAAGTAAGGCAGCGAGGACGGTCTCTCCTCAGGGAGACAGTACCTGCCGAGTGGAGTATGAAGGCAAGAAGGTCTTACTTAGTGTTAAGAAAGGAAGTGACGAGAGCCTCCCCAGTGGCACAGCGGGTTGAGCGCCGCGCTGTGAAGTTGTCTGCAGCCTCTGCAGTGCGGGTTCGATCCTGGCTGGCCGGCAAGATACCCACATGGCACGGCGACCTCTCCTGTCTTGCCTGCTGCTCCCCTCGGCAGCGTATTTCAGTCAGTCCGTCTGTTCTGTTCCCCACTCTGTCTCTGGTGAATCCTCTCACCCTTCCGCACCTCTGGTCCTTACCCCGGTTTTTGTATGCATGAATAAATAAATCTTTTTTTAAAAAAGTGCTTTAAAAAAAGAAAGGAAGTGACAAATGCAGAGCTTTCAGAGAATTCAGAGGAGATTCTAGCTGCCGAGACCCGATGAGATAAGAGCCTAAGTAATAAGATTTCACTACCCGTCCGGCACCGGGCCCGGTTCTCAGCGCTTTCCAGTGCACCCTTCATTTAACCCTGTGGAAACCTGCAGAGGCAGGGAGCTACCTTTCGGATGCAGTTCAGAGATGTTCTATCTCACAGAAGGGCATGTGACTGGTGAGTGAGAGCCGTGGGCCCATGGTGGCTGTGGTCAAAAGTGAGGCTGTGAACCTTTCCAGAGACACAGCCGATTAGGAGCTAATAGAATTTTAAGGTTTTTAATTGTTAAGCGCTTGGCCGGTGGTTAATACCTTCACAGCCATCCCAACCACAATTTAAGAAGCCAGTGAACACTCCTTCTGTGCTCTACTTCCACATCAAGTATCACTTAGCAGGCATTCCCCTCCCCTCCAGAAGCTCAGGCACACGCTTGCACCCACTACCTTAGAGCCTGTAAAGACCTCGACCTTTTCGGTCTCAGAGTCAGGGATTTGGTTTCATCCAAAAGAGCTGCCACCGACGTGGTGGTTCTGTGAGTCCTGCCCGTGATTCCAGGTATCTGCTGGACGCAGCTTTCTTTGCATCTTTGATTATGTAGGAGAAATTCCTGGAAATGGAATTACTTGGACTATAGGATGTAGGAACATTTATAAGATGCAATACAAATGGTCAAAATGACCTCTAGAAAAAAGATATTTTCAATTGAAAAAATTGATAATTTTTAAGATTTAGAAAATACTTTCTATTATTTTTCTTTCTCGCAGGGGGCAATCAAAACTTCACCGAGGGGAAATCAGGTTAAATTCAGGGCTTGATTTAGATGATGCCATCCTGGAGAAATTTGCTTTCTCGAATGCTCTTTGCCTTTCAGGTAAGTTACTTCTACTTATCAAAAATATATATATTGTTTTCATTTCATTCAGGAAAGATTAAGTAAGGATTTGACAAGTTTTCCCAGGAGACCTAGGCCTTTTCCTTGAAAATACATATATCAAAATTTGGAGGAAACATTAAGTAGTATAGAGTATAAAATATGGTATCTGTGCTGAAGTTACTCATTCCTTATTCATTGTTCTGTTAAAGCTGACTTTCTCCAAAACTATTTTTTATATTATTATTATTCTTACCTCTGTCTCCCTGCCTTCTTTTATGATTGTTAGTCTTGGGATGTCTTTAATCCAGGCCGAGCAAGCCCAGTGCTGGACTGGGCACCAGGCCCTGTTACGAAATGCCGTCTGATTCCTCACAGGAATGGCACAGTTGGTCACCACAGCTCCAGGCTTTTCCTGAAAGATCCATGCCCCTAAATAAGCATTGTAATTCGCTACACATTGTGTGTCCCACTTCTACACTCGAGGCTGCTGAGGCCTTGCAGCTCTGTGGAGTGTGAAGGGAGGCCCTGAAAGACCGACTCCAGCCCCTTCCACAGCACCCTGTCCTGCCTTTGGGTTTCTAAGATGGGTTTCTACTAGGAAACCCAAAAGCCCACCAACCGTAGCTTTGCTCTGCCAGCAGGACCTGGACATCTACTCATTTTCTGTCTTTTTTCACTTCAGTGCTATCCTTCATAAACATTAACTCTTCTTAAATTTTAAGTTTTTAGCTCATTGGTTTCTTAAATTGTGGTTGGGATGACTGTGAAGGTATTAAGCAATTAATGCAATTTGTATAAACATAAAGATAATGATAAAGAAATGTTCCATTGTTAATTTTTTTCCCCCCAGTGAAACTGGCTATTTGGGAAGCATCACTGGATAAGTTTGTTGAATCTATTCAGTCAATCCCAGAGGTAATTATATCAATTGCATGCTGGTTCACAAAGAATGATTTCTATTTAGAACAACAGTATACTTAGAGGTAAAATAAAGTCAACACTAGGAAACACTAGGAAAGCCACACTGAATTTAAGCAAAAAAAGAACCGCCAGTTACATATAAAATGATGAAATAAGAAACTTCATATTGATTTTTTTTACTTTTAAAATTTGAAATTCAAATGAACCTTCCTCTGCTAGTATAATATTTTCAGTGTAACTGAATTTTTAAAAAGTGAAATGTTTCCTTTTTATGGAAGAAGATTAAAACCACTGTACTTGGTGAAAGAAGGGTTTTGCTAAGTTTGAAAAAATAGTGGCATAAAAAATATAGACAGTTGTAACAAAATTTTTAAATGCATTAGAAATCGTGTTTACTGTAATTTATTTTTACTGTGAGAGAATAATTATACTTAGGAAAAGAAGCCTTGCTTTTTCAACAGGAGAGTAGGAATGTGTGTCTTAGAACATGCGAGATGAAATGAGAAGGGCATGTACTGTTTTCTACCTAGTAAGATTTTAAAGTCTTAGAGTGAAAGATCTCACTTTTATTAGATTTTGAAATCTCAGCGTGATATGACAGGGAGAGAAAGACACAGACATGAGGCCATATCTCTGATTACCTTTCTGGCCATAGTACTTATTGCAGATACACATACGTAGGAATAGGTACGTGTATGCACATAGACATAAGTATGTATGTTTGTTTTTTCCAAATAGTCTCTAAAAGCTGGGAAGAAAGTGAAACTCTCTCATGAAGAAGTTATGCAGAAAATGGGTGAACTCTTTGCCCTAAGGTAAAATTTTGTGTCAGTAAAATTTCATGATTTCAAGCAAACATTCCTGTAATCCTCCAGTAAAGAGCAAATGTTTATACCTTGATCAGAATTACAGCTATTTTCACTTCATTGGTTTTCAGCGGGGACCACTCTCACCTGTTTGCAGCTGTCAGGCTGTCTTATTCTTACTGCAAGAAACCCTGGTGTGCAAATGCAACCAGAATTAACCTACGGTAACTCTGCAGCGGGGAGCACAGTACACATTCTCTGAAGGTAGAAAGATACACTCTAGAATTTGGATAATGCGAAATCTTAGTAAAATGCCTATCACTGCATCCCAATGCTAACAGACCAAAATGCCACAGAGAAGTCGTGCACCAAACACAGAGGGTAAGAGGCCACAGGAGAGGAAAGATGTTGCAGTTAAACTGTGATAAGGTGGTTTTTTATCACAGACTTTAAATTTCACGCTTACTGAAAGAGCTCTGGCAGTCTTGTTTGGATGCAGATTTTGTCACATTCCCTCCTGGACAGAAGGACAAAGGAAAGCACTGGGGAAATTGTTTATGGCCAGGACCTCTGAGTCGCTCCTCCCCACTGCAAGACCTCATTCTTTCAAAGACGCCTCCCATTTTCGGGAATGTTAACAGGAGAAGAATGGTGATAGTGTCTTAAAATTGGGGGATTACAGTCAAATTTACAGGTGAATCTCTGGGCAAGTGTTTAGTGTATTGTCATCTGAGGATTTACGGAATGAGACAGCCTCGATCTTGATGTGACTCTCACTAGGCAGCACCGTTGGGGATTTCATCCCTTCTGGTGTCTGGAGTAAAATACTAGAGTTCATTGTCGTTTACCTAAGAGTTGTTTTTCTGCATCTTGCTTAGATGTTAGTCCTGGAGAGGAGAACAGTTCAGTTTCTCCTCATCACGCATTTCTCCTAGCGCGTAAAGCCTTGCGTTCTCTTAGGAAGTAGAATAGAGGGATTCGGCTCCTATTCTCTTGGTAGTACAAGCAGAATTGGAGGTAGCAAATTATACTATTAAAACTCACAAGTTAGGAATTAATATAGTTAGTTTCTATGGAATCCTAGGTTCTTTTCCTAAATTTTCTTAGCTTTACAATAATAGTAATTTTGTGCTGCTGGCATGTGGAACATCTATGGAAAAACACAGCAAGTTACAAGAAAAATTAAGTCACAAATTATTCATATGTGATCCCAAACAAAAAGTCTTATTTATTTTGATATATATACCCACTGCACATTAATGTGTGCGTGCACACACAAATGCATATATGCATAGGAAAATATCTGAAAGGACAGAGCAGTGTCCCTGTGCAGTGGGCTGGAGGGCTATCCACTGCTTGTCTACATTCTCTAGGGCTTATTCTGTTTTCTAGTGAATAGTTCTTTATTTTTAATAAAGAATTTTAATTTTCATTTAAAATAAATTTAGACTCCTTAAGTAAAAAAAGTGAAATTAAGAGTGTGCGTGTGTGTCCAGCGTTTGCCCAGAATACAGAGGAAACGAAAGTGGTCGCTATAGAAAATGAAAGAAAAGGAAAGATGGGTCAAGACTAGGAGTAAGTTTGGTTCAGTTTTGTCTTTTTCACTTTTGAGCCCTGTGATTACCTGGCCACAAAATAAGTATGTGTATATCATTAATTAATTTTAATGAAAAAAGAAATAAATTAGGAAATTGAAGTCAAAATGAGGGTTTTTTTCCTATGTCATGAATAATAGTAATAAACATTGAATTGATTTGGTTACATGTTTTGAAATTGATAAAATTTTTTCTAGTTTCTCAGAAGCATTCAAAGGTCAGCATTTTAGACTGTTTTTGTAAAGACACTATCAAATAAGAACTGTATGCGAGACCATGATTTTCAATTCAAGATAAAAAATTTAAAAATGACAATTTTCTTTTTTTTTAAGACACCGTATAAATTTGAGTTCCGACTTCTTGATCACTCCCGATTTCTACTGGGACAGAGAAAACCTGGAAGAACTTTATGATAAAACCTGTCAGTTCCTTAGTATTAATCGTAGAGTTAAGGTATGTATTTTGTACTTTTACTGATAAAGACACACTGTTGCCCATAATTTGTTGTGTGACTGAAAGAGAAAATTATAGTAAGTATGTTTTTCTGTTCTTGGAGAAATACCTTGACTCCTCTATTCAGATCCTGGGTATCCCCTACCCCTTTCTGTTTTCAACTTAACTGATCAAAGGATGTTCTGACATTTGCCCTGTAGGCAAGACTGGTGAGAGTTGGGGGGCCTAGCGGTCCATTAGGAGGTTCTCGTCAAGTTTCAAGCAAGAGTTCAGGCATCCTAAACTGTAGTAGTGACAGCAAGAATAGAAATGAATTTAACAGAGAATCCTCCAAGACAACTGAAGTGCTGGGTACTGAGAGGCCAGCAAGGGAAGCGTGGAGAACGCGATGTTTGCTGCGGGCGAGGAGTCGAAAGACGGCAAGTCATAGAGTTTGGGAGATCAGGGGAGATGGTCCAAGATGGGTGGAGAGTAGAGGAGCAAGAAGACATCCAGTTAAAGTGATCACACAGGCTCAGATGCAGGGAAGCTAAGTTGAGAGAGACGTGTACATCAAGGCAACCGTGGAAATGAGTGGAAGTGGTGGCGCGGGAGGTGACCCACACAGGAAGCAGCACACAAAGCAAAATGGACAGTAGCGTGATGTGTGTACTTAGTTTGATGACATCATCACGCGTGTAGATCCATGTAACCACGAGATTGAGGCCGGACTTGTCACCTGAGACACCCACACCACCTCCCCTTCCCCCCGTGCCCGGCCCCGGCGGGAGTAACCTGTTCTCCAGCTCTGTAACTCTGTCACTCTGAGAATGTTAGATGAGTGCCTTCACATAGTGGGGAGTTTTTAAAATTGTTTTTTCACTGAGCATGGTGTTCTGGTGTTGCACATGTCAACCCCTGCCTTCCTGGGGTGACTGGACCATGTTCTGGAATTCTGTTTTGATTTCTATTGTTTTTGAGTACGTCTCTCTGCATAGGTGTTTAGCGGTTGCTCTAGGTAGTTCATTATACACACGAAACTTGTCAGTCTGCTGCCTTCAGCATTGTACCAACTAAGTCAAGTGTAGAAGCCTTGATTTCTTTTACATCCCTTTATCCTCCGGCATTTGAGATATAATTGCTTTAACTATTCTTCTGCAAGCATGGAGCTCTCTACTGGTGTTACAAGTTTTGCTTCAACCATCAAACATAATTTAGAAAACTCAGGAGAAAGAAATTCTGTTGTATTTACCGCTGTTTGTACTCTCTCTCTCATGAAGGTCTGAGATTGAGTCTTCTATCATTTCTTTTCTGTTTCAACAATGACCATAGCCATTCTTCCAGGCTAAGTCTGCAGTAGCAAATTCTTAGTTTTCCTACTTCTGACGATGTCTTCAATTCCCCTTCATTCCTGAAGGATTTTTCACTGACTAAAGATTCTGAGTTGATAGTTCTTTCTGTTCAGCAGAGTTCAGAGCCTCGTCACAATAATGACAGCTTATTCTCTCTTAGAAACAAGTTGGCAAGCCCAGCCCACAGGGCAGGGGACGGCATCACTCAAGTGTGAATCCAGCAGGTGGGATATGTGATGTTGCATCTTAGAAGTCAGCCTGCCACAGGCTTCAGGTTTTGAAAATGGTGGAGAACCATTTAGAAGCCTGTTGTGTGAGCACCCCCGGCTCACAGCCTCCTCACAGTCTCATTACTTTCATGACTGCAGCTCCAGGCCCCTGGAAACACCGGGAGCCACTGCTGCTGTGTTCGGAATTGGCAGTGAGCCCACTTCCACCACCGGTGGCTCGGCAAGAAGGCTAAGGCCGAAAGAGCTTTCCGGTGTTTGACCTGGGAGGGGGCCTTTCTGTGTGTCTGTGCGCACTGTTTTAAGATGGGGTGACTGGCATCAGGTCTACCAGTGAGGATACCTCCTCGAGTGAAGAATAACCTTGACAACCAAACTGTCAACCATTCCTGGGCTCAGATCAAGCACAAGAATAAGAAGGACCGGTGAGACCAAGAGGCTCCGCCTACTCCAGCAGTTGGATGCTGGGTGTGTGAATGTACTTCCCACACTGAGGCCACTTTGGGATTGAGGCCCTCTGTAAAGGCACGGACAGCTCTACTTCTGTTTGATTAGTATTTGGAAGAACTGGATGCTAACCCTGTCTCTGGCACCTTAGACCTATGGAGAAACCCCAAAGTGCCAGCTAGACTAGGTGCCAACCCCTCAAGGGTGGCTTCATCTACAGCCCCAAGATTTAAAGTCTCTGGATTAAAGCAAAACAGTTTAATCACAGACAATGTGATCTTTTATGTAGAACATCCTGAAGAAGCTACTAGAATAAATGAACTCATCAAGGCTAGAAGCTATAAGGTAACTTGAACTACTTAAGAATATTTTTTTTTAATGTAAATAAGACCTGGGACTTGAAAACTACAAAACATGCTGAGAAACTCAGTATATGAAGACATACCATATTTGTGAATAGAAGACTCGGTGTTATTAGAATTGACCTAGATTCAACTCAATCCCAGTCAAAATCCTAGCAGACTTTTTAATTTATTTTTGTAATAAGCTGGTTTTTAAACGGAAATGCAAGGGACCTAGACTAGCCAAAGTAATTACAAAAAAACAAAAAGGACAAAGTTGGAGGACTTTTATTATCTGATTTTAAGACTGACAATCAAGTTACAGTAATCAAGACAACTGAATACTGGCATAAAGATGAATGCAACAGAATACTCTAGAAATAGAGTCACATACATATGGACAATTTGACAAATATAAATTAATTTATATTTGATAAATATAAATTATTTTAACAAATATATTTGACAAATATAAATTAATTTAATAATAAGGATAATGGTCTATTCTACAAACTGCTGGATCTTTTGGATAGTCATGTTTAAAAAAACAAAACTCCTTTATTTCATACCATTTCAAAGGGAATCAAATATCTAAAAGCTAAAATTTAAAAACTTAAAATGCACGAGAAAAGCCTTATTATCTTAGGGCAAAGATTTCTTAGGACCCCCAAAAAATTGCATGAGGCTTGGGGAAAAAAAAACTTTTAGATAAGTTAGCATCCTCAAAACTAAAAGCTGCTCTTTGAAAGACACTGTTAAAATATGAAAAGGCAAGCCACAGGCCGGAAGAAACATTCTCAATATATTTGCTGACAAAGGACTTGTCCACAATGTACAAAGAACTCTCTCTACTCCGTATTTAAAAAACACCAGTATTTTAAATGGGAAAAAGACTTGAAGGGACACCTCACAAAAGAAAATATACAAATAGCCAAGTGAACATGAAAAGATGTTCCACATCATTGTCTGTCAGAGCAGTGCAAGTTGAAACTACAGTGGAGCATCCCCGCACGCCCATTAGGATGGCTAAAATGAAAAAGATGACAATACCAAGTATTCGGAAGGCTGGGGAGCAATGGGTGCTTTCATGTGTTACTTGTGGCAATATAAATTGGTACAGCCATTTTGCAAAGTCAGCCTGGCAGTTTCCCATGCTAGGTAATCCTGGTGTTACTATCTGACCAAACAGTTCTGCTCCTGATCTTTACCCATGAGAAATGAAAATATATGCCCACATTGATTTGCGCAGGAGTATTTATAATAGCCCCAAACTGGAAACAGTTAAATGTCCATCAGTAGGTGTATGAATAAACAAATAGTGGTGTGTCTATACTGTGGACTACCGCTCAGCGGTGAAACTACTGCTGCGCCATACAGCAACATGGATGAGTATTAAAAACCATGCTGAGGGCCTCCCTGGTGGTGCAAGGGGTTAAGACGCAACCTATGAAGCTGTCCACAGCCTCTGCAGCACGAGTTCGATCCCCGGCCAGTGGAGCTACCACATGGCACAGCAAACCTTTCCTGTCTCCCCACTGCTCCCCTCAGCAGTGTATTTCAGTCGATCTGCCTGTTCTGTTCACCACTCTTTTTCTGGTGAATTCACTCACCCACCACACCTCTGACCTAGACCCCAGTTCTTGTAAGCATAAATAAATAAATCTTTAAGGAAAAATGAGAAAAAAAATAAGAAAAAAAAAACACCATGCTGAGTGAAAAAAAAAATTAGACATAAAAGCATACATGCCATTGTATTTACAGGAATTTCTAGAAAGGCAAGTCTATAGTTACAGAAAGTAGATCTGTGATCTACTTTTGGGGATGATGGAAATGTTCTGGGGGTACTTACATGGGTATACATTTGTCAGAAGTCTTCAAATTATACTTAAATGGGTGTATTTTGGGCCTCCCCGGTGGCGCAGCGGTTGAGCGCTGGGTTGCGAAGCTGCCGCAGCCTCTGCAGCGCCGGTTCGATCCCCGGCTGCTCCCCGGCCCCCGGAGGAGGGTCCCACATGGCGCGCAGACCCCTCCTGCCGCCCGCTGCTCCCCTCAGCAGTGTACTTCGGTCCCTCTGCCTGCTCTGCTCCCCGCTCTGGCTCTGGTGAATTCTCTCACCCTCCCGCGCTTCTGACTGTACCCAGTGCATGTATAAAACAAAAAAAACAAAACAAAAAAAAAAATGGGTGTATTTTATTGAGTGTAAGTTATGCCTGGAAAAGGGTATTAGAAAACAGCCTTTTGTGAGGGTTCTTTCATGGCCAGCTAAACAAAAGCATCCACCTTGATGAGGCAGTCATTTTTGCTGGAGTCAGATTTGAAAGGACTTGGAATGGAGACTTGGCGGAATCATGACCTTGGTGATGGGGTGAAAGATCGTGACACCAAGCAGACGCAGACCTTCTCTACGTCTTCTGATAAGCAACATGAAGACCAGCCTGCTGTGCTGAGTGAAGTCAATAAAAGTGGCTGAGCAATAACCTAGATAACCTGCTGCTCCCTAAGTTTGATGTCAGGCACCCACCTCATCCCTCCTACCTCCTGTGTCCTTGCACGAATGCCAGTGCTCAGCGTCCTGCATATGTTGTCCAGGGACGAGATCACAGGAAAAGAGAGTAAGCTGCCCGTCGCCAACGTTGAAGATGGTTTGAGCAGAG